ATTAGCTATATGAAGTAATAGTATTTCTTAAATAACAATATTCAGTTGTTTAGTGAAATCACTTAGGTAAAAAAGTAAAAATACAGTACATGCAGTGTTTTTATGATTTTGAAAATGCATATTGTCATCGTCTGTGATAAGATAGTATTATCTGCCAATATTTTTTCATACTTTGCACCAATCTTCAAAAATGATTCCAATGCATCCTTCCAATTAGTGTAATTCCATTTTTGAATCAATGTTGTCATAAAGTCAAGCAAATTCACAACTGGGAGGTATCTTGCGTGCTTGTTTGCTGCATTTACTGATTCCGCAATATTCGATGTCATGGTCATGGTTCTATTTGCCTTGGAATGCGCCCGGGACCATTTATCATATCCAATATCCATCAGGTATGTTTTCACTCTACTATCAATAGCTTCTAACTCTGCCATATGCCTGTTGAATTCTTCAACAGTGTATGCTCTTGCTAACGCAAAATATACTTCTTTGATTTGTTTTTGGCTCTTCCTGAAGTTTGTCTTTATGTTGTTCCACAGATGGAACATACATGCACAATGAGGGACTTCTGGATAGACAATTGAAGTTGCTTTCCATATAGCATCATGCCTGTCTGATATAATGCACATTCCCACTCTTTGTCCATAGGTTTCTCTGAACTGCACGAAGAACTATTCCCACGATGCATCATTTTCCGAATCAACAATTGCATATGCAAGGGGTAGAATTTGTCCTGTAAACCCAAAGAACAAAATATCAATTACAACACACTATATTAATTTAGCATTTCATATAGTAGTATAGTCATAGGTAGGTGCAGGTGTGTAGCAAAACAACTATATACTCTGTTGGTATACTTGTATACCATACTGGTATCATATAATATTTGAAGATATTTTTTGTTTCTTTAGCTGAATGTAATTGGATTGTACACAAAACATTAATTTAGTATTTCATATAGTAGTATAGTCATATGTAGGTGCATGTGTGTAGCAAAACAACTATATACTCTGTTGGTATACTTGTATACCATACTGGTATCATATAATATTTGAAAATGTTTTTTGTTTCTTTAACTGAATATAATTGGATTGTACACAAAATGTTAATTTAGTATTTCATATAGTAGTATAGTTATAAGTACGCGCAGGTGTGTAGCAAAACAACTATTGGTATACTTGTATACCATACTGGTATCATATAATATTTGAAAATGCTTTTTGTTTCTTTAACTGAATGTAGTTGGATTGTACACAAAATATTAATTTAGCATTTCATATAGTAGTATAGTTATAGGTACGCGCAAGTGTGTAGCAAAACAACTATATACTCTATTGGTATACTTGTATACCATACTGGTATCATATAATATTTGAAAATATTTTTTGTTTCTTTAACTGAATGTAATTGGATTGTATTCTTACCCTCTGCGTCTTGCGTGGAAGCCGTGAGTATGGTCCCTCTATATGTTGACTTTAAAAAACTTCCATCAACTACAACTGTTGGCCTACAATAGACCCATCCTCTAATCGATGCATATATAGCTATGAATGCATACAAGAAGCTCCCATCTCCTTCAGTGTGTAGTCGTGTCACTGATCCTGGGTTAGCGTACTCTAACATATAAAGATATGTTGGCATTTTCTTGTATGATTCACTTGGTGATCGTCTCAATAATTGCATTGCTTTTTCTTTTGATCTCCATGCTTGCATGTAGCTTAAGTCCATACCATATGCTTTTTGGATGTCTCTCTGGATATCTGTTGGTGTATATATGGTTTTCGGGTCAACAAGTTTATCTTGTACCGCAACTGCAACAAAAGCTGAGGCAGCTTGCTTTTGTGAACAAAATCTCTTATCAGTTAAACAACTGTGGACAGAATTGAAATCCGTCACTTTGAAAAGATTTGATGCTCGCATGCTTGATGCTTTAAGTCTCCAAGTGCATCTTTCATCCATGCATTCAAGGATATACCTGTTTATAATACAAATGCAGTTATGTATAATATTTTATTGATAAAAAACACACACAAAAATCCGTACAATTATATACTCACATGATATACTCTGTTGGTATACTTATATACTGTATCAGTATCATATTTTGCTGATAAAAAATATAGACAAAGCAGCACAATTCTATACTCACATAGTATACTGATTTAGCATACATATATACTATATTGGTATTATGTTTTACTGATAATAACAAAGACAAACCAATACAGTTATATACTCGCATAGTATACTGATATAGCATACTTATATACTATACCAGTATCACTGATAAAAAACACAGACAAACCAATACAATTCCATACTCGCATAGTATACTGATTTAGCATACTTATATACTATATAGGTATCACATATTTTTTTACTTGAAAACATGCAGACGGACCTTCTTGGGCATGATTTATGAACCCGATATTGACATTTTTCTCTAACAGCATACTGTTTCATAACGAGAGCCAGCAGGTTCTTGTCTTCATAAATTTGTCCTTTTTCAACATTTTGATGAAATTGATCAGTTATGATGTTTGCATCATCAAGTTCTAAAATGGCGTCATCTCCTTCTTGCACATCAAACGTAGTAATCATATCAGTGCTTTCAAATTGTGCAATTTCTGATGAAATTGGAGCAACATCGAAACTGGAGGTGCTTGCAGCTATAGTGTTTTTAGCAAACGACACACACAGGGGAAGTGTTGTCATCCCTGCACTTGATTTTTTCAATTCCATGTAAACACTAACACTCATATCGCTGCAAATTGTAATTGGTGGATATCCTTGAGCAATAGCATACTGAATAACTATTGTTTTACTGCCCTTTTGCAGTTGCTTTGCAATTTCTATGAGAAGTTGTTCAAATTTCCAAGAGGTCTTTATTAGAATTGCATCAACATGAAAATTTATGAAATTATTGTTATCATCCCATTCTCCACTATGCTGCAGCAGAATTGGAATATTTTCCATGATTCTGAAGTTATAATATACTGATTTAGCATACTTATATACTATATAGGTATCACATAGTTTTTTACTTGAAAACATGCAGACGGACCTTCTTGGGCATGATTTATGAACCCGATATTGACATTTTTCTCTAACGGCATACTGTTTCATAACGAGAGCCAGCAGGTTCTTGTCTTCATAAATTTGTCCTTTTTCAACATTTTGATGAAATTGATCAGTTATGATGTTTGCATCATCAAGTTCTAAAATGGCGTCATCTCCTTCTTGCACATCAAACGTAGTAATCATATCAGTGCTTTCAAATTGTGCAATTTCTGATGAAATTGGAGCAACATCGAAACTGGAGGTGCTTGCAGCTATAGTGTTTTTAGCAAACGACACACACAGGGGAAGTGTTGTCATCCTTGCACTTGATTTTTTCAATTCCATGTAAACACTAACACTCATATCGCTGCAAATTGTAATTGGTGGATATCCTTGAGCAATAACATACTGAATAACTATTGTTTTACTGCCCTTTTGCAGTTGCTTTGCAATTTCTATGAGAAGTTGTTCAAATTTCCAAGAGGTCTTTATTAGAATTGCATCAACATGAAAATTTATGAAATTATTGTTATCATCCCATTCTCCACTATGCTGCAGCAGAATTGGAATAATTTCCATGATTCTGAAGTTATAATCACTTTTATGTCTAAAATTGAATCTCAACAATGCAAATTTCAACAGTGTTCGAAATCAACAGTGTTCGAAATTTCAACAGTATATAGCTGCAACAGATTTTTCGAAATCAAACCTCTAGATCTCCAGATCTCCAAACCTAGATTAGAATTTTCAGCTAAAATTCAGAAGTTTAGCTCCGAAATCAAAATCAAAACAACAGCGAAATCAAAATCCGAAAAGAAGATGCGAATCAACATCTTCGATCTGTTTTCTCATACTTAGTGATCTTCAAATTAGGGAATGTCGGTGGAAATCTCAATTTTGTGCGCTGATTTTCTGAAATTTTGAGCAGCTTTTGCGTTTTTATAGGTAGGGCATTAAGCGTGAGTAGTTATTTTGATATTCCCGTTTATTTATTAAATAGATAGTAAATTGTAATTATTTAGTGGGTATAATTCTTTAATGGGTAGGGCAGGGTAAATAATTTCACTTTTACACGTACTAGTGTCTTTCCCCCTAATATTTACAATATTTATCCATTTGGCTTAATGAAATCCATACAAGACGCCCAAAAAGACAACAAAATTTCAATTTTCCGCGGAATCAAATCAACGATCAAAAACATGTCTTCATCTGAACTCAACTTTCCCGCCTCTGAAAACCCTAGCAGCAAATGGCGATTCACATGGGAAGCTCAATCTCACGTTTCAACTCTCCGATTAATCGTTTTCAATCCCAATATCAAACCCTCGTCTCAATGCAACAATATCTGTATCAACTTATCTATGGAGCAATCTTTGCTCACTATCAGCTTCTTCGAACCGGAACTGAAACCCGAGACTTTAATTAGGGTTCCAGTTCCTCGGGTCTTAATTGACCCGGAATCTCCGGTTCATTCTAGAGCGTTCGATGATCATATTGAAGTTAAATTTTCTCTTCTTATTCCTGTTGATCATCCGCTCATGTCGGGCTTGGATTTATCCGAACCGGAAGAAAAACGGGCCTCAGATACATTATTTCCATTCTCCGTGAATTATGGTTAGCCATTTTTCTTTGCCTTTTTTATTATTTAAATTTGATTTGTTTAGTTTAATTTCGATTTTTTATATACGAATTTGGATGTTTAGTGGTGATTGGCTGATACACATTGTGACGCCGCTAAAGGGAGAGGCTTTTTTTCTTAAATGAAAATTTCGACGATATTTAAAAGTCAAAACAACATATTTTGTCATATTTATGATATTGTATTCTCTTTATAGATTACTCCCTCGGTCCCAATTTATGTGATGTTATTTGACTATATACGATATTTAAAAAAGAAAGAAATGTTAGAATTTGTGTATAACTATAAATTATCTCATTAAGATAAAATATATATTTTGAAGTTGAATTGTTTCTAAACATAAAAAGTGTCAATTCCTTTTAAAATAGACTAAAAAGGAAATGTGCCACATAAATTGGAAGCGAGGGGAGTATATGTACTTTCTCTCCAAAATAATTGGGAAAGTGGGAGTACTCTTTATAATTAATATAATGTTTTTATGTTGCACCAAAGATGTGGCCTAGTGGTGAAGTTGGAATTAGACTAGGAGATCGAAGCGTTGGCAAACGAATTGTTTGGTGATTTCTTCTTGTACACCCAATCCTTGGTGAGCAGGACATACCCTATACCTATATTGGTGGAAGGATATAAGTGCCTAGTGGAACAATCGAGTTGCATGGAAGCCGCCCTCACAAAAAAAGTAGCATTTTTATACCCTTTCACCATTTATATGATATCTTACACCTTTTACATCTCTTAGCTACTGTTTTAATTAATTTCCAACGTACTCGAGTATAATAACAAATTATAAAATTTCTTTTCTTACCTTCGTGAAAGTCCAATTAGGTGGTCAATTTGTAGAAGAGAGAGCGGGACTTTGCGTGTGGGGGTTGGGGGGTGGGAGGACAAATTTGAAAACTTTTCCTTTGAATTAAATAGTTTGTAACACTTAGAGCTTATCAAGAATTTACTTTTGTATGTTTGTCAGGGATTTTAGTAATTAGCAAGACTAAAATTGCAATATTTGATCAATGTAACGTCGTAGTCTATTGAATCACTTTATGGAGTAGAAAATACAGCCCCAAAGTTCTAAAACATGCGCTAACCACTTGTTAAAAGAATGTGAAGGACTAAGACAAAAAGAAAAACAAATAGACAGCAATATTAAAGTAGTTTTATTATGGTTTATATCTTCTCCTTTAATATGTTTATGTATACCTTCATTGATGAACTGCTGCATTGTAATGCAGAAACTGGCATATCAACTTGCTGTTGATTGGATGTTTTAGGCATATAAATGTGATCACTGCTTGACATACACTATGACTCTACCACTATTTAAATTCTGGCACTTATTGAGCTTCTTTCTCATTTATTTATTTTCCCTCTTAATAATTCTTCTTTGTTGGATTAGAAATGAAGAACTTATCTGCTATGGAGGAAGTCCATTTTTACTGCAGAAGTTGCTCGACTAAGTTAACCAGGGCTATCAGGTAGAACTCTTCTTTCTCTCAGTCGGGCAGACAATTTTGTTACTCACTTTACTTGAACGCCATTGCATGTCTCTAATATTTATTTCTTTAAGCAGATTATTTAACGAGATGCCATCAGTTTACTGGCAAGATGTTGCAGACAATTGGTTTGGGACATGTTGTTGCTCGTTTGGTGGTATAAGTGAAAAGCTGGTCAAGGAATTTGCAAAGTCATATTCTTGTACAACAGGTGTTTGCCTTATAACTGGCGCATCTGTTATTATATGCAAAGAGGACCTCATTGGATGTGAATTTCCTGAGCCGAATAGGGACCAAACTTATCATTCTCAGGTCAATTCAGCCGAGACGACTTGTTTAACCAGAGATGCACCCTGCAAAAGTGAACAATCAAGAAAGGTATGCCGCAACTATCCAGGCGCAGGAGAGGGAGTTGATGAGATTAGCGTTGTTCGTCCTATAGAAGAAAATATTGGGGCGAAACAAAACAATGAAGTTGCTGAAAAGGTGTTAAATGGTGATAGTTCAACCTGCATGCCTTTACAGTTGAAGGATGAAGACAAAATGCAGTCATTGGCTGGAATTTCTTCAGAGGCAAACTGCCACACTAGAAAGCAGAACAATGGCTGTTGTACGAGTAATCTATGTGAAATGGAGAAAGAATATGAAATGAATATTGAACTCTTAGATAAGCAGAAAATATTTCTTAAAGGCTGCCTTGGGGATGCTTTTATGTTGAGACCTTCCAATCTTTCCAATGATGTTAAGTGGATTGAATTTCTCTGTCCTAAATGTTCATCTCTTATTGGATCATATCCTTGCTCCAGTGATAATGCACCATTGGATGATGGAGTTCGGCTATACAAATATAACATATCTACTTGTTTGCCTGTTTGTGGGTTGAATGATCCATTTAGGTAAGCCATCCTTCATTGCCCCCCTATATTTAATTTATCTTGTAATTTGGACATTCTCTTATATTTTTCATCTAAACTCAAAGTTCTTTACCAACTCGTGGTTCCTGAAACCATATGGATCCTGTAAAATCAATGTGTCTTTTAGGTTATATGTTTCTTGACATTTTCTCCCATTAACTTCCATGTTAGTTGATTTGTCTTTTTTTCTTTCTTTGGAGAGCTGAAAAGACATGAGAACAGTAACTTTGTCAATAGCGTAGTAAATGCTAAACAGTTTTCTAGTGGCATAAGTAAGATGTTGGCTCGTCTGAGAGTCGACATAGGCTATACCCTGATAGAGAGATGTACTTAAGATAGACCTTATTTCCTCTATCTTTCATTTATTTCCACTACTGATATGCTATGCATAAGGAAGATACCTAACAACTGAAAGACAAGATCTATAGATTGAATGTTGGGCCTTTACGGCCCAAAATATCCACAAGACGAGTGTGTAGAAATGTCGATGTTTAGATGGATGCATGTAGTTTAAAATTGACAAGATTAAAAATGATCACATCCGACACAGGTGCAAGGTAGGTAAGAGGAGTCTTGAGAAAAAAAAAGAAGATGGTTTGGTCAGGTTCTACTTTGACCTCCAAATGCACCAGTCTAAAGGTGTGACATTGATGATTGAAGGTGTTATAGAGACTAGTCAGACTTAAAATTACAGGGAGGGATACAATTTCTGAGAAGCAATATCAACCTAAGGACAGTACACAATGGATGCAAATAATCCAGATAGCTGATGCAATTATTTGGGATTGAGACTTAGTTGTGTTACATATTATGTATGGTATTTATCATGAGTGTTTTTTCGTTTAGTTAGAGACCTACGTTAAGACAACTCCTAGTTTTACTCAACCCCTTATTTACCTTAGGAGATGGATTATTTGTGTTGGAATGAAATATGCCCAAACGGAGTAGAGTGGATATACAAAATTTTCGAATAGTCAACTCCAACTAGTTTGGAATTGAGGGACAATTGATTGATTGACTTTGATTTTGTGACGTATTAATACACTTGCTCTGGGAGACAGGAACTATACTTTGGAAAGGATGTTTACACGTCAATTGCTTGAAGCTGCACAAGATGAACTATCATTTCGGACTGTTGTCAGAGATATGCACACCAAAAGTCCACTTTCACAAATTGTTCTCCTAAACCCAAATGCTTGGTCTTATAGTGGATGTTGCATGCATGATATGGAACCAGCTGCTAAGATCAATATGTACCCGATTGTCAAGCTATTATTCTCTGCGAATATCAAGGACATGGAACTTGAACCCAGGTGATTGCTTCTCTACTCTAGCTGGTCTTTTCTTCTGTCTTTTCGTGCCTTCTGCATATTATTATAGGTTATCTTCCCTCTATCTCCGCCTTTATGCTGGGCAGGGGAAGCTGAGGGGGTGGGGAGGAGGTTGGTGTTCAAGCTTTTGGACCTTACAAGTTATATATGTTCATCAATTGGGTTTCAAGAACTATACTATAAGTAGTTGCCATAGCTAAATATAAGCTGGCATGAAATACTAAATTATTGACATCCTGAGATGATTTTGAAAAAGGTATACTGTTTCGAAAGTTTTAGATAGATGGTTGCTACCGTTTTGAAAAGAAATCGTTTTTGAACACTCTCCAAAATGTTGCCATGTTGCATATAAAAGGCCAAGTGGATCCTTAAGAAGCTAGGCACTGCATTTTATATTAAAAATCAACTAAAGGTTATCTAGATAAATCTTGTAGGACTTACCGAAAATAAGAAAGTCATTGACAAGATTTGTTGTTACTTTATCTGATTCAACGTTATCCTATGCCACATGTTCCTGTGGTATTTTCTCCTCTTCTTTCAATTCATGCACATCTTACCAATGACTTCTGTCCCATCCATTTCAAAGCTCCTTGGCTGAGATCATACTTGTTACAGAAAAGTAGAAGAGTGGGTGACCAAGAATCAAACAGATGAAGTTTACATTTTGCCATCTCAAGTGACAGAACTAATTACAAATTTGGAGATGGCAACTAAAATGTGGCCACCGTCACATATGCTGTTGCAGGGTTTCTATATGTCATCCTTGAAGAGATAAAGGGTAAGTCGTTTCAATTTCGCTCGAACGATCATTGTAACCGAGGAGGAATTCGTATGTACAGTACATGTTCTGACGTTAGAAGCATTGGCCTGAAACAGTGGTCTCACTAGTTGAGCATGTTAACACCCTAGCCTTACGAGTAAGCAGTAAGTTTTGACAATCCCACACCAAATTGTACCAATTTATGTATTGTGATTGAATAATTAATAGATACCCTCCTTGGTTTACATGAAGTAATAATTTACGATTTTTAAATTACATACTTCACATTGTTTAAAAATATTTCATAGTATGTTTTGTTTTGTCGAAAGCTATGTGGGGAAATGCTTGGCGAAGGACAAGAGGGCCTATCATTCTCTCGTGGATCCACATCCTCATAATTTTCCCAAAACAGCTTCCACAGAAGAATTTAGGACAAAGCAACAGATAGCTTAGATTTATAGTTGGAATTCTGGCCTGTCATTTGTCTTTAGTGTTTGTTTATCCATCTATCTATCTGATATCTGATAGAAAATAAGCCAACTGAAGGGTATTGAGGGTAGTTTCCCAGGGGAATGACCTTATTTAACTTATTGGTGCTTAGAATTCTTTCATCTTTGACTCGCATAATTCAGCGATTAATAGCAGACGTGGATCATAATACTGAAGTTGCCAAGCAAATAGAATGTATCAGTGGAAGAGCCGGGAGAATCTGGTTGTGGAGGGAAGAGGATGTTTCATTTGCGGAATCGGGTATAGTATTTAAGTGTAAAAAGGCAGGTATGGGGTATTTAAGTAGAAACAGTAGAGGGACAAGCCTATTATCTAGCGTTTCAAAACTGTAATAGCCAATTTCTTTGTTACCGGAAAAAATAAATAGAGGATGCTCCATTTAGTTCCAGACGCGGGTTGTCAATAATAATGACTGTTGTATTAGCAATGGGGATAACTAGTGGTGGCAAAATGGATAAAAGAAAATAATTATCCATTAAAAAATGGGTTGGAGAATGAACTTTTTAAAAACGGGTCAAATATGGATAAGAACCATATTATCCACTTAGAAAATGGATAACTAATGAGTTTAGCTTTTATATTTGTAAATCCTCAAATTGGGGCTCCTCAAGTTTGGAGACTAGGAATTCTCTCAAAAGTGATCATTCAAGAAGCCAGAGATCCATATTATCCGCAGGTTAACCTATTTTTTATCCGTATTAAATATGAGTCGGGTCAGATAACTTATCCGTTTTTGCATTTATCCGTTCCGACCCGCCCGTATTCCATCCCTAGGGACAACTTACTATTGTTGGATTCTTTCAGCTAAGTTTTGTCCCAGAAATAGCACTAAGCCTTTTTTCACAAGTCAAATATATCTGCCATGGATTTTATTCTGCCTTTTATGAGAGGTCAAAGCCGAAAGGTAGAACGAGGAATATCACAAGCATTCGCTATCATTACTCTCCAAAGGTTGGCCCAAAAATGAGTAAGCCATCTTATCACAATCCTTACACTGTCCAGTGAAAAGGTCCTGGCCCTTCTCATTTTCTCTGAGAAAGTATGTAGTTCTATTCGGAAAATTACGCTAACACATCAAATATTTATATTGTATTTATCATTCGTAACTATATTTTCAGTAAGTTTACCATTCATAGCTATATTTGAATTTTATAGCAAATTCATAAAATAAGAGATTAATTATTTTGAACTGAATTCGACTCTCAACAAGAACATTTTATTTTCTTTATTTCTATATTTCGCCTTAGTTGTATTCGTTGCGCGAACAAATACAGTCGATACATATTGTATTCATTGCGCATTTGAATACAACAATTGAATAGTAGCTACGAATGGTAATTAGGCAAACTATAGTTACTAGGCTCTAAACTACAATGGTTTATGAAAATTCTTCTTCTTAGCTCAGTTGGTTAGAGCGCTCACTTGGTTAGAGGAGATCTTGAGTTTGACTCTCAACAAGAATATTTTATTTTCTGTATTTCGCCTTAGTTGTACTCGTTGCGCGAACAAATACAGATACATATTGTATTCGTTGCGCGTTTGAATATAACAATTCAATAGTAGCTAGGAATGGTATCTAGGCAAACTATAATTACTAGGCTCTAAACTATAGAAAGAAGGCCGGTTCTTTTTAGTCTTTGACCCCATGAAACATATAGTACAAATTGATAGACAAATTCTAAAATTGTTCTTGTCCTCGTTGAAATTCTGTCTCCTTCAAATGTCATAAAGCAAATAAGGCTGTGTCTTCATGTTCTCAAGATCCTGGGAACATATTCCCCTTTATGGGATAATGACAGTTCATGCATGCATGCTGTAGTCTGATAATTAGTTTTCAAATAAATAAATAAATAGAAGCTCAAAATTGTATGAGGAGAAGAGAGAAAAGTAGAATTAAAGAATCAGATTTCCATTCTCATTTTGGCTATAAATAGTATCTTGGAAATTAGAATTATAGCATGCAGAAATATTGAGAAAAGAAGAGAGGTCTTACATGAAGGTAAGAATCCCTTTGATAGCCAAGGATGACTTGCCTGCTTCATTCTTAGAGGCTACTAATTGCATTTTCATGTGCCAATTACCAGCATTCTTGTTTGATCACCAGGCAGTCTCCTTGGCTAGTCTAATGGATTTGTATCTTGCATGTTAGACTCTTCTCTTCTTCTTCAACCACTACAGGTCATGAGTTATTTTGACTTTGACTTAGAGGTGAATTCAAGATTTTAAATCAGTAGTTGTGAAGTAGCACTACAACCAGGGGCGGAGGGAGTATATAAGTTACGGGTTTGGACGAACCCAATAGCTTTTGCTTAAACTCTATATCTGTATTAGCTTGTGAATCTAGTAACTATAACGAGCTATGTGTTCAGCGGCAAGTTTAGAACCCATAAACTTCAAATTCCGGCTCCGTCTCTGACTACACCGTTAAGTCTTTTGATAATGGTTGAGGATAGTTTTAAATAATTTCAAAATTATCGATCGTCTTCTTAGTTAACTGTGGGATCTGCCCCTTAGCCATCCATCTTTAGATACGAAGGGCGAATGAGTCATAAATTTTAAGCCCAAAAATCAGGTAAGAAATGTGGGAAACAACATCCTCATACCAAGGTTTGCTTTCTGCACCTACTGATATGATGATAATTCAGAAGTTTTTTTGCAAATAAGAAGGGCATTGTTCCTACCGGTAGAAAAACTTCTCTTGAGCAATTCAAGTATCACTTGAGTGGTAGTACGAAGTAACCCACTTCCAGAGGTATACAGCCTGCCAATATATATTCCTATCTTTTTTTTTCTTGACAAAAAATTCGTATCTATTATTTTATACCGGTAACTAGATGAAGCTCAAAATTTTACGTTAACAATGAATCTTTGTGCAATGTCATTGTTTGGAAATATGTCGATAGTGAGAAAGACAAGGTAAAACTTAGTAGAGTGCAGATATTGCCATCTTTTGTTAGGTATAAGGGGGCTATAATTAGTTTTTACAAAATAATGATAGGCACTTGAAAGATGAACATGAACTTAATATGTTGTGATAAAGTTTATGAAGCAAAAGCTTTGTTAGATTGTCTAATATCGGTTGAGAGAATGAGTTGTTCTTTTTGTATATGTTTTTGGCAATTTTGATCTCATGAATTAACTTATAAATTAAGTTAGGCTACTGTCCTTTTCGTTTTATGGTATCACAGTCAAATCCATCTTTATTCTTGGTTTACCCAGTATTAAACTCTCATGTTATGATATCCACGCTCAAATAAACTTAATTGAGTATAAATTTGAATAATAGTTACTTCATGAGCTCGGATTGAGTTAGACGCCCATCCATGTCTTATCAAATCGAGAAAAAAACTATGAAGAACAAGCTTTATGAGGTTCATGTTGACCAATTAGAGTAGGTTTTCTATGTTTTATTCGGGTCTTAAATATTTGATGTGGTCCAAGAATATAAAAGGCCCATGTGGATTGCCACGTTAGCTTATTTCACCGAAAAAATTAAAAAATTTGATTGAGTGATAAAGATAGGTTAGTGATTTTCAAGATGAACTTGGTCTATGAGGAAAATTACAAGCTAATCAGAAAGAAAAATCAGGAAATAAAGTTAAAAGAAAAGCATAAAAATACACCAAGGCTGATGTTGAATATTGTGATATTTAAGAGTTCATCATCCTGCAATTCTTCCGAATCTCGCCCCTGTAGCCAGTTAAAGGCGAGATATTTCCCATCTTAACCATAGACTTCGCGAATTGCTCGAAGAAAATCTCATTGTTTTCTGCATATAATTTCACCAAGGCTAATGTTGCCTGATTTTTTGTCACAAGAACTTGATCTGAATTAAACAAGCCCCTTGAAGCCAACAAATTCTTGAAATAGCTGTTGTCAAATTTTGTAGGGGAGACAAAGTCCATAACAAATAAGTTTTGGTCACCACCAGATTTAGGGCACCTAGTCCGCAATTGAGCAGCATATGTTTGATCCAATGTATAGTCTGGTAAACTGTTGCCTGATTGATTGTAGAGCCTCTGCCTGAAGCTGGTACATCTTGCATTTCCAATTGTGTGGCTCCCTGCACAGAAAATTCTTCTAGTGTTAACTAGGGTGGGCATCGGTTGGTCCGGTTAAAATATCGGTTACTGGTAATCAGTTATCGATCGCTATCGGTTCAGTTATCGATTTATCCGATAAGATGACTCAATCTAGATTCTAGAGGGAAGAAGTAATGAAGGATAATGTGTACTGTATAAAGAATATGATAAACTTTTTCTACTGTTATAACCCTCTCATAGAATATGATAAGCTTTACATCATTGTTTCTCTATGTGTTGAATGGTAAATTTGGGAGGGTTACAACAGTAAATAGAGAATTGGGAGAACTGGAAAATTTATACACCTAAGGGTAAAGTCGTATTCATATAAAATTTATTGAGTTATCTGTTAAATCGTTAATTAAATTAGGAAAACTGAGACCCGAACCAATAACTCAATAGTAAAATTACACTAAACCATTACCGAACCGTTAACCAAATAACCCGAGAATAACCCAATAAGCTTTTTTTGATTCTAGCTATCGGTTTTACCCGATATATACCCCACCCTTGTGTCAACTATAGTTTTAAGTGTGCTCCCTAGTCTTCCTAAAAATAAACAAGGATTTAACTTATATGCGCCCACATTATAAAGGATTTTTTATAGTTAATGTATTTTAATCAAATTTAACTTCTATGCACGAACAATATAT